ATTTTCCATCCCCACCTATCGCCGGAGGGATGATGGGTGGTGGCCAAGTGAAATTATTTTCTGAGAGGCAAAGGTCCAAACTATATTTCAGTAACAGGATCTGGGTCAGAATGTACTTTTATCATAGATAAAAAAATTTAAATAAACTTGCTGTTTCTATATATAAGAGTAGAGGAACTGGGTTAACGTTCGATCTGGGTTCGTTCGAAATCCCGGCAGATTTTCGAACAATTGAACATCCGGTCTTCCACACGTCACCACCCTCTCCGATCTAAAAATGCGCGCGCGGAGGAAGTTTATGGGTCTAGCTTAGAAAGTTTAAATAAAATGGTGCGCTTGCATTCCGTTCCGCTGGCGTCTCTGTCTTGCGCTCGCGGAATATCGAAAGTCGAGAGAGGCGGCTGGTCCGAGAGCTGGACCAAGCGCGGGGCCGAGGGGCCGAGGGAGGAAGACAGGGAGATCTTTCCAATCTCTTCTCCGGCGATTTGCGTGTTCTCGATAGGCGGGTATCGGGTTTAAAATGACTGGCCGGCCGAAGACGATTGCGTTGCGCGCGTGGGTGCCGACGCGCGGATTGCGCAATCCGCTCCGAAATTCAAATCCCGATTCCACGAAGCGATCAGAGAAGCGGAAAGGCGGACCGAGAGAGTAGTAGTATCCCCTGACGGAACTCGAGAGGAGACCTTATCTCGATTGCCGTCTGCCTCCGTTCTCTTGCGGCGAAAGACGTCGACGAGGGCCGAGAGTGGCCGGAGAGAGAGAGAGAGAGAGAGAGAGAGAGGAGAGAAGACCATGCAAATTGCACGATTTCCATTTCTTTTTCGTTCTGTTTCTCCGCCTTCCCTCCCGCGCGCCTTTCGCCATCCATCTCGCCGCTACCACACCGCGCTACCACCGCCGGCCGACTCGCGGGTCCGGCCAGCGTCGGTGGACTTTTTATTTTACAATTCCGATCGGGGGAAACGGGCATAAGGCGGAATAATTTGGCGCGCGTGGGCAGAGTGTCTTAAATTCTCACTCGAACGTCCCCCGTCTCTCCGAGCGAAGGTGGAGAGAGAGAGAGAGAGGGCGAAGGAGCGAGGGGAACGGAGACACTGTCATTAGGGAAGGCGTATCTCGGATGCACCACGTCGCGACTCGACGCCAGGTGAGACGACGTCGTGCGGCCCCCATGTTTACGCGCTGCTTTTTCTGCGGAGATGTCCCGTCTCTCTCTCTCTCTCTCTCCCCGCCTGTCTCATGTTGTTCACATCATCGTCGAGAAAGCAACGCCTCGTACATTATCCTCCCCCGGACTATGAAAACAATTCCGAGAAGCAGCGGCATTATGCCGGCTATTTGCGCGAGATCGCGTCGCGAAAAATTCGCCGGAGCGCGCTTCTTCATCTCGGACTTCTTCGTGCGACCTAATCCCACCGGTCTCGCGGCCAATCGGCGTCCAGACTCCGCCGGAGACAGAGCGGGCCCTGGAAATCTTGGCTCGTTCGCGACCAGTTTCTGAAAGGGCCCATATAGACTCTTCGTGCCGTCGCTTAGAAACCCGAAGAACGAGAGTGAAATGCGCAGATCCTCCGGCACCGTCGAGTCCTACGAGTCAATCCTTCCCGGCGCAAAGCATCATCAATCTCCGTCGGACGCGCCGGTGGTACATAACACGGCTAATCGCTCGCGGCTTTGCGTAATATTCGCCGCGTTACACATTCGGCCGCTACGTTCGTCGTCGCCGACGTTCACGGTCCCGTGACGCATCGAGCGGAAGGACTCGTGGGTGTCTCGGTCTTTCTCTCTCTCTCTCCGTAAGCATCCCCCATGAGCCGACGAGAGGCGGAGAGACGCGCCATGGACAAGGACGACAAACGAGCGCGTTACAAGTGCGAACAACAATTTCACTCGGCGAGGCCCCGCGTTATTTATTTTGGTACGTCTAGACGCGCGCCAGATTGTCTGTCCGCATGTCCGATCCGCGACGGAGAATTCGGTGATGACGTCAGACAGCCGTTGCACCCCGGCCGTCGCCGCCGCTGCCGTCGCCTCCGCCGTCACCGCCGCCGCCGCTGCCGTCGTCTCTCGCGCGCGGGATCAAATTGCATTGTGTGTGTCTCTCCTTCGCTCACCCTATAACCCTCCGACCGCGCTGTGCGCAGTTAAGCCCGCGTGTCTGCACGCCCGCGCGTGATCGCACGTGGGTACTTTATGTACCCGACGTGTCTTCCGAGTCTAAGGGCCGGTTTCACCGACGACCGACGTCGCTTAACTTTAACCTCAGCTTGATTCTCTCTCTCTCTCTCTCTCTCTCTCTGAGATCGGAGCGAGAAGTGACTATAGTACCGCCGATTCAACACCGTCTCTCCACCGGAGACTAGAGCTAGAAATAGCCAGTTTCACTAACGTCGTTTAATTTTAACCACGCGCCGACTGACACTTGGCCTCTTTCTAGTTCTAGTTCCAGACCGGTCTCTTGAGATATCGTCGGCGTACGTTTTGTTAATCGGAGCACAGCGAATATTGTTAACCCTCGAATAACAAGATTGGGTCGGATCCGACCGGATCCACATTCTAATGCTTGCGCGCGAGCGCTTTGCGAAGCGTTATATTTCAGATATTTTACGTGTGTGCGATATATTTTATTTATTTGGAAATATTCTCGAACTTACTGTGAGAATAAAAGATGCCCGGTCGGAAAAGTTAGTTGAAAAAATGACAAGACGCTTCTACAGGTCGACCCATGTGAACTTTGTTATTCGAGGGTTAATCGTAGCGACGCGCGGGGACGGTCTCTCGTCCGTGTCGTCCTTCGTCATTTGAGGTTCGTACAAATGGGAACGATTTGAAGAAGACGGGCCGATGATTACGGACGTATTTAGGAGAGGCGCATTCAGTCAGTAGAGAAGTCACGCGCGTCCACATGTACGCGACTTAAGCGTGCACCGTGTATGTGCGAGACCGAGCACAAGGTATGGGAAACGTGTGTGCGTGTCCGGGACACCGCAATGCACTTCCTTCGACACACGTGGCCCCCCACCAGACACCGTTGTCGGCCAGACTAGGTTTCAACAGGGGTGAATAAGTGGTTACGTCGTTTGGTTCCGATTCATCGATTTGTTTACCGCCAGCACATTCCGCTCTTTTTCCTTGCATAATCGCCGGTCGTCCCTGACGTCTTCGCGAATCGATCTGTAAAAAAGATGGATCGCCCATGCTCTTCTAACGCGTCATCGCATACATCGTATGTGTACGTGTGACGAAGGTTTATATTAAAATATATAATACGGAGATGGGAAACAGAGATTTCTTTTCCGGACGATCAAAATATCATTAATAGTCGGTACGCTGAGAGTTATGTCGACAGAATAATATTACTCGTTAAACGCTGCATAGTTATCGCGAGCGCGAAAATAGCGCTTACGACTTTTCAGCCGAGGATTCTCCAGTACCATCCGGCCGTGTTCGAATTCACGAGTTCAATTCGCAGTTCGATTTGATCGCGTCACAGCAATTTGTGTTAAGCCGGATGCGAAAATATGGATTTATAGGAATCCGCTCGGGCGTGTCTGTTCTTAATGCAGCTCACATTTCTTATCTTCGAGTACGAGTCGGTATCGTCGGGATAACTTATTATCTTCTGGAAATTGTTATGGATATTTTAAGAAAAAAAAAATATATATATATATTTATACACATCGTTGTCCACTATTGATTTCGGAAATTACGATTCCTCGGATCGTTATTCCGCTCCTCGGAGTTTCGGTACGTTTTCTTCTTTTTTTTTTTTCTTTCCTCTTTTCGGGACTTCGCACGTCGGATTCCCGCCGTCGGCGTGTGTTGCTACGCATCGTATTTTCACGCACGCACGCAGAGGCTGCATTTATTAAAAGCGATACATTATGATTCAAAGATCATATCTTTCGATTCGTCTAGACAGCGGAGAGGGAGACACCCTATAAAGTCGTACGTGGCTGCCCCTGAAACGACCATCCGAATACGACGAGCCTCCTTGTGCATTTCTCTCGTCAGACCTCGTGCGTTCCCGTCGTATACGTTCCCTTACCTGTTCCTCCTTTTTTTTTACCTTGATTTCTTTCGCATTTCGTCGCAACGTTCCCCGAAGTCGTTCAATCGGAGGAACTCTATCTCGCCGAATGGCTGAGACTTCGTGGAAAGAGACGAAGAAGAGGAGAGAAGATCTTTCTCTACCCGTTTCTCTCTCGAATTGATCGAAATATTCGCGAGCGACGCAAAATCCCGTATCGCTGAAGAGATTCCCTGCGACTCGGTCGGCTTTTATCCCGCCGGTGGAAGAATCAAAATCGATTTTTTGGTTTTTTGGCAGCGAAAGCCCGACGCGTTCTCGCTCGTGTTCGCGGTGAAAGGAGAAGCAAATTTTCGGACCGTATCTATTTGCAAGGGACGCAAACGTCGGCATATATCTCTCATGAGATCCTCAGGTGCGGAGAGGAGCCGCGCGCGCGAGCGTTCGTGCAATCCACCTGCCTGATGCGAGACACCGGGCCGACGAGTGTGAGATTTGCGAAATTCGAAGTGACAGCAGTCGCGCTCGAACGTGACGCGATAACAGAGAGACGCCGTGACAGAGGGATCGGGGTAATCGGGAATTTGGTCAGCGGATCAATCCGATTCGACGTGATCCTCTGGTAGTCACCAGTCGGAAAGGCGGATTCGCGCCGAAGAGGAAGAACACAAAGAGGAGGAAGAGCGGTGGCGAGAAGAAGGGGCAGGAGAAGAAGGAGGTGAAACGTCGCGAGGAGAGAAAAGGCTGTCCTCCGCGGGATTTCGGTGTGCGAGGAAAAGGGGTTACCCAGGTTTGAACGAGTGGAGGAGAAAGAGCGGAGCCGTGAGAGGCGGCGGTGGTGGCGGAGAGAGAAAGAGAGAGGGAGAGAGAACGGGGGGAGAGAAAGAGAGATAGAAAGGGAAGGAGAGAGAGAGGGGTAGAGAAAGATAGAGAGAGAGATAGAGGGGGAGGGAGGGACGAAAAAAGGAGTCATCGTAGTAACACCGGCGCGTCTCCTCTCGCGGCTTCGTGGTTGTCTCGGAATTAGTGAGTAGACAGAATTATGTCTGTGAGCTGGCCAGCACGGCTCAGTTGAGACTTACTGCTCAGAGCGTACACACGCATACTACGAATCCTTCCTACTTACGCACCTCGCGCCTTCCTCGTACGATTAGAACTTAGTCCGCGACCGTCTGCAGACCAATCACGGTCCAGTTCGCTAACGCGCCTCCGTACGAAACGGTTTCCTCGTCTTCACGTGGACGTGTCTGTGGAGTTGCCCCGAGTTCGAGAAGCTCCGGCGCAGCTAGGTGACGGAGGGAGAGAGAGCGAACTATCGCGGAGATCTCTCGAGGTCCCACGAAGAAGCACCCACGAAAGCAGGAAGAGCACTCAGAAGACGCGCTCATTTCCCTCCGCGAGGTGAGCGAAATTCAAATCGGAGTCTGACGGGCGACCATCCGACGTCGAGTCGGAGTATCGGTCGACGGACGTTGAGAGAATCGCAGAAAGGTGAGAAGACCGACCGAGAGAGGCCTTTTCAAGGTGAAAATCGCCGATTATTTTACTGCGCGAATTCGAAGATCGCAAGACGTTACCGCAGTTATTCGTAGACTGCACCGGTCGGACGAATTCCACGAGGTTCTCTTCCGAGTGAGCCGGCTCGATTGAATTCACTGATGCGTACGGCATAATTTTCAAGCAGTTTTGCGAGGTACTTTCGAATGCTGTATTATTTACGCACTGATGTTGGTATCGAGCAATTCGGGTGAAAAATTTGCCGCTAATTAGACGCGCGTCACTTGATCGTTCGTTCAAAGCGTATCTTCGCTTTCGGATATCCCCTGTAAACGTCTATAAACGCGGATTTAATAGATTGCCCTTAATTATCGGCGGAAATGAGACATTAATTGTGCCGCTTGGAAACGTGTCTGATCTCTATGTAAAAGTTTCGTAAACTCGAGGCTACTTTTGGAGAACTTGCAGTGCTGTTGTCGTAGTCGAGCAGCATTCGATCGTCGGGTTTTCATTAACCGCGACAATGGGTGTTACGAAATTAGTCACGCTTCTCTTATTGGCGTCCGTCGCGAGCCGCGCGTGGTCTCACCATCATCACGGATATTATCCGGAGCATAGAAAAGAAAACGGTCGCGTGGATTTCGTCGAGCGAGCATCCACTGCCGATGAGACCAGCGAGAAAAGCACCGATCGCAGCACGCGGTCGGAATTATCGGAGAAAGACGAGAAGCGTCCGGACGCCTTAGACAGCAAGGATTCGCCGCCCTTCAACGCGCGAAGGCTCGAAAAGATGCTGGAGAAGGCGATACTGAAGATCATCACGGGCGACCTCAGCACGGCCGACATGCTGCTGCTGAAAAGCTTGAACTACACTTTCGAGGAGATCTTGGCGATCCGCGAGCAGGAATTCAGCAGACGAAAGGACGAGGAGAAGGCGAAGAAATTCTACAATTCCATGCTGATCGAGCAGTCCAACGACCCCGACGGCGAGGTGTCGAGGAGCGAGAGGAAGAAGAACCGATACAAGGAGAAGCTCTCTTTCGACGACTTCGACTTTGACGCGTACAACCAGGAGGCGACGATCGACTACGAGAATCTGGCCACCAAGCTCGAGCAACAATCGTGGCCCGAGCCGGCGGCTCTCGATTACGAGGACGAGTTGAAGAGCTCGAAGGAGCAGGACCAGTCGCGAAACGTACACCGGAGCTTCGACCGCGCCATGGAGCCCCACGTGATCTTCAAGATCCGCTATGACGATTCCGAGTTCGACTCCGGCTCCAACGAGAGGCCGAGACTTCGAGACGCCTTCACCTCGAAGGACCTGAAACATCGCACCCCTTCGGCCTTGAGACACACCACCACCAAGAACGTCGCGAACTCCTTTCACGCTTCGTCATTGTCTTCATCTTCTTCCTCTTCTTCTTCACCTTCTTCTTCGACTGCTGAACACACTCCACTTCCCGTAGTATATCAGATGAGGAATCTCAGAGACGTCAAGTCGGATTATCTTAAGAACCAACATTCTGTCGCCATGACGGCGTCCTCGGCATCTAACGATACTGTTGTCACAAACGCCGCGTCTAACGCAACTACTTCCGACGCGACAACGGATTCGGTGGACGACGACGATTCGTCCGCCAAGAAGATCGGCCAGTACGAGGGGCTGGAGTGGGTGGAGGATGACGTTTACAAGGTGATACCCTCGTTGGCGGGCTCACTGACTTACGAAGACAGCGATGAGAACGGAACGTCGGACTACGAGGAATCAAACCTGGCCTACCTTTCGGACGAGAACGAAAATGACACTTTGGAGTACCGAAACGATACTCTGGAGTACCAAAACGATACCCCGGTGAGGCTGTTTAATGTCAACGCGTCCATGGAGAAAGTACCATTGACGAATCAGTCCACTCGTCACCAATTGGCGGCCGCTCATCGTCAGAAGTAAGTTGAAACGAGAGAACAGATCGTGGAGAGATGGAAAGAGGCGAATCGCCGAGGAAAGCCTTAGCGGAATGGTTGGCTTATCGGTTCAAGACAACCTTTCTTGCCTTAAGTCTTTGTCTTTAAGTAACGCACGATGACCGTCTTGTGTCTCGAGTCTTGAATGAAAAATAAACGATAATTTCAACAAAGATCGACGGCATAAAATCTTGTCTTGAAGGTACAAGTTAGCAATTCTGCCGAAACCCTAACGCCCGTCGAGACTGATCGCTTTACTGCAAAGTCAAACGCGTTATTTTAGGACTGAGCATTTTCTTATGCATTTCTTACCGCTTCGCTTGCCGTCACGTCATTTAACACGACGTACGATCACTGGACGTGTTAACTCGTAATTTAACACGATTGATGAACCGTTTTAAACGGCGTAATCTAAAACGGCGCAAGAAACACGTAAAAAGAGCTCCGGTCAAATGTATCGTTTTTCGACGTTTACGTGTGCAAAAGTAACACACTCGGATTTGTACAGACGTACAGGCTGATTTTCCTCGGCGATCGCGCGCCTTTTTCACCTGCCGGATCACAACTTCCACTAAATATCGTTCGTTCATCACACGCTCCGCTTTCCGCAAAAATCTAATATTCGCAACACGCGTGCACTCACAACATGTGCTTGTACCTGCAACGTGTTGTATCCGCAACATGTGCTTCTTGTGTCTTCTAGACGAAGCGTAACCCCTCAAGCTTCGACAGGTAAGCGCCTCCCTGGAGGCGCTCACGGGCAAGGGCATGCCGTGCACTTTTCTTCTAGACCACCCATTTTTCACCATCGTTGCTTCACGCAGGTCGTGTATCTCTCTCGTCGTATCTCGCATGTGGCTTGCCGTTCTGCGTTCTCCGCGATCAAGTTGTTAGCTCGTTCTCGCTTGCGTCTTAAAAGGAATGCGTCGATCGCGTCCGGATGATTTTCGTTGACGCCGCTCTGCTAATTTCGGCAGTACGTAAACACATATTTCATTCGCATTCACCACGTGGTAGCGGCGGCGGCGGTTCTCGCCGATGCGTCAACAGGAGGTTGCGAAAATCTCATACATGTTATCGCAGTATATTCACTCCACATATCTCTCTCTCTTTAGTGTGCGATCCGTTTCATAATGTCCTCACGACGCAAAACCCCATCGCGATCTTGCATAATCGATATTCCGGAGCAATTTCAATTTCGAAGAGATCGCGATAGGATACGAGAGAAGGTAACCCAGGATCGTCTTGCGCGAGTTCGTCGCTGCGATATACGTCAGTTAAATCTTTTTCCTTCTATTCCTATAACACGCCGCGTGCCGCTTGATTATCGCGAACGCGCCGCATGAATTTGTAGTATTCCAGGCGTTACGCACAAGGCGAGAATCCACCGACGACGACGACGACGACGGCGGCGGCCGGCACCGGCGTTCTCAGCAAAACGTTGCCCCCGTCACGTAAAAATATCTCGATGCACCGATAAAAGTCGCGGGAGAGGAGGGGGGGAGGGGGGCAAAAAAAGCAGTGCGGCAGTGCGCATAGGGAAATTCCGCGCTATAAGATCTTCTTCCACACGCCAAGTAGATAATACTCGGCGCGTTATTTTTATTTATTTTTTTTCGTTCGATCTGTCTTTTTTGCGCTATCCACGATTCTACGTCGCACTAGGAGAGCAGCGCGCGAGAATGACGGGAGGGACGCACTTTAGCAATTTCTCATTGCTGAGACAGAATTGTGCCGAGCGCGTATCGCGCTGGTGCGAGAAATCTCTCGAATCACAGATAGCTCGTAGATTCTCTGCGGACGATGAGACGATGCTCGCGGGGAACGGCTTTGCACTTGCAGGAGAGAGAGAGAAAGAGAGAGAACCGTCGTCCCCGCGACACGCGGATAAATCCGAAATCGTAAGCGGCGATATAAAGTTTTCGCGAGGGACAGGTTTAGGACAGCGCTCACACGCGCCAGGAAGGATACGCGGTGGAAATTCCGCTGCGGTCTCTAGCTGCGTTTTTAAATCGCCCTCTCCCGCCTTCCCCACGGCCGCTCACAGCCCCACTCGTACGGGTGCGCGGGCGTTTCTTTTATTTTATTAAGTCTAGACGCGTAAATGCATTCGTGCCGGCACTGGCGTAGCCCGTCTCTCTCGAGAGTCCTCCGCCGCGCGCGTGCTGTTGCCGATGCATTTGTGCCTCGCACGATCGTGCACGCGGTTGCATCGAATCCTCCGGCTATTATCCTCCTCCTCGAGGGTTCGCGCGCGCACGTGCACTCGTACACCGACAAGAGAGAGAGACTGTCTCCGCTCCTAATTCCACATCCACCCGGTTATCGCTCCGATATCACGAATTTTTATACGTCTGCGCGCCGGACTGCGAGATTTGAGCCCGCCTCGGAATTTCTTCTCGATCGCACACACGACTCGCGCGCCTTATCTTAAGCACCGGTCTGCCCCGGCCCTATAATTGTTTTACGATAAGCGATTCCCCGTGGAGCGCGCGATAAGCGTGGAACGCACGGCCGAAACGGCGGTAGGGAGTAAAAGGAAGGAGAGGAACGGGAAGGTGTCACGTCTGGGCATCTGGAACGACGAGCCTCCGGCTCTCTCTCTCTCTCTCTCGCGACGGGACACAATAGGAGCGCGCGCGAGAAGCGACGACCGGCGACGAGAGTATCGTCTCTCTTCTCGCGCGAGCGAGTCGCCGAGTGAGTTGAGCACCCCCGTAATCGCCGGGTGTCTAGTCGGGCTGCAGTTAGAACTCTCTTACGAGGTTACGTAACACATTTCAATTTAATGCGTTGACCTTGTCTATGCGTCTCTCTTCCTATGTCGACGAGGACGGAGTGACGGCGCGCGCGACGGAGAGCGAGAAGGAAGTTTTCGCCGGTGATCCCCTCGCCCTCCGTTCTCCTCCCTCCGCGCCTCCTGCATCCCGCCGCAGCCGTCGTACCGCCAGACGGTGCAATGTGCATTTTTACGGACGGCCCAATCAGGCCGCCACGCTGGTTACGCGTCGTCGGCCTATCGCGTCGCGAGGAACCGTTCTACGCTATTCTCTCTCGCTCTCTTTCCCCCTGCTTTTTTCTCTATCGAATCCCTTCTTTTTTCTCTCTTTTCTCGTCTTTTCTTTCTGCATGCTCTAACCGACATTCCGACGATACCGGGGCGTGAAAATTTTCGCCGGCGACCAGGCTCTTTTTCTCCCTGGTTTCTCTATCTAATTTCGAACGCTAATGGCCGATGCTCCCGGCCGTGCTCCAGTGAATTTCATTATCGCGACACCCGGCCTAGCGAGGCGAGGCGAGGAGGATCCGCCGGCGGTCCGCGTACACCGCCGGTTCTCATGATGCAACGGCCTCCAGACTCTCCAGGTCCTTCCCTTTCCCAGACGGCGGACAGACGTGGCACGTACGCAACGAGCCGGCGCGAAACGCGTGACTTGGCCGCAGCTAGATTAACGAGCATGCCTAGAATCGAACATGAGGGGGCCTCGGTTATACCGTAGCCGAGATTTCGCAGAAGAGCGCCGTAATTTTTCCCCGCTGTCTCCACCGCGGGGCCTTACCTTCGCATAATCTGGATCCTAGACGAAATATATCAAGGGCGATCATTCTACGTGATGTTGAGCTTCGTTAAAGAATAATTCACCGGTTCCCTCGAAAAAGAGCGAGCGGAAGAGAGAAAGAAACGGTCCCTAGATATTCGAGCCGACACATAAAGAGGCTCTTAACGACTCTTCCCAGACGGCGGGGAAAAAATGGGACAGACCCGCGGGACTTAAGGACGAGGTCGCTGTCATTGAGAAAATTCTTGTCCTTGTGCCGCGCTCGGGATTCGTTTCTCGTGGCGGTCGGACGCCCGCTCTTTTCTTCTCGTCCTCCTCCCCTGCGTGTCTCTCCTTCTTCTTTTCTTCTCTTTCCCGTCATTCAGGGAAATGCATTCCTCTGGTTGGCGCTCGCGCAGCCAACGAGGTCGTTGACGTGGAGGCTACGCTGAAATCTCCGAGTGGGCGTCGAACACGGCGGTCCTCATCGATGACGTAGGGAAACGACGCTCATCCTCCTCGTCCCGTCTCCTTCTTTTTTCCATTTCGTTCTGGATAAGTCGCACTTGGAAATCCGTCCCGCAATTTCGCGATCCCGATCGTCACCGATGGTCTTTCGAAACGCCGTGCCTGTTAACGAAGGTTTCGGGGAGACCCCCTGGCCGAGAGTCAGCGAGTTCTCGTCGAGAAGTGCAGACTCCACACGTGCCGTAAACACGAGAATCTGCAAATTAGAATAGCTCCGAATAGCGAGGGCGACCGATACGCGTCGGGGAAAGGCGTGAAATTCGAGTCACGCGAACGTCCAGTGGCGAAGAAAAAGTCTCCGGGCGAGGTAGGGCGATGCAAATGAGCTGGCCGAGACGTGGCTGGGAGTGGACTTAAGATTCGAGACGCGGCTTGAAAAAAGTTAAGGTTCCGAGACCAGACGGAAAGCCGAGGTGATTGGGGTGCCGGTGTATCCGCCGACTGTCTAGCCGCTGTCTGCAACGTGTAATAAATGCCTCCGAGCCGTACCGTGCTTCTGTAGGTCACTGACCATCGTCCGTTGGCCCGCGTCGGCACCCGGAAGAGTTCAACTCGAGTCGTGAAAATTCTCATGCCGGCAGACGCGAGGCGCCGTTGCACCAGGTCGCTAGAGAGCCGTTCCGGATCGCGTCCTTCCGAGATTCCCGCTTCATTCTCACGCACCGCGCTCCTCTCGGCTCGCAGAAACATTCCGCTGGCATTTAAAACATCTAGGGCATCCTTTAGATATCTCTAGCGGCGCGACAGACGTTCGAGATGTCTGGGCTGCTGCCCGATCTGGAGCGAGCTATTCTAGATCGGATCAGAGCCGCGACCGAGCACATACCTTGACACAAATTTCTGCTTTATTGATCAACGGAGCGGGGAATAATCCTCGGTCGCCGTTTGAGGCGCCTTGACTCGAATCTTCGCTTTCTTGGCTCGTCCCCCGTGGGAAACACTCTCTGCAACTTCGTGCGAACGGAATAATCGCGGCTCTTACTAACGCACGACTTCCCATAGAACTGTGAGATGGGTTCGCTTGCGTTTCGCTGTTCACGCAGTGTCTTGAACGCGCTTGGCATGACATCGTACGTCATTTAGGCGCTCTGCAATACCCTAATCAACTTTGATCCGTCTGTGCAGCGAGAGTCAGAAGATAATCGAAGAGATTAAGATGCGGGTCCTCATGTTCACTGGAAAATTGAACAACACCACCAGCAAAATTGATCGCGAGAAACTCACCATGTTTTCGCCCACTTGTGAGTAGCTCGATAATTAAGGGGTTAATCGTGTTAGGCGCGCATCTTGAACGCACTTATCTACATCCTTTGGGATGTTGTGTGCGGAGCAAAGAAGAATAAGTAGTATTATCTAAGAGAAAAGCGAGAATAAATAGCAGCAGCGGCCTTTTTTCGAATATTGGAAAGAGCGTAATCCAGTAAACACCAACTAACAGTAACGTAACATTAATGTTATAATTCCCCACCAATACGTAATATAATATATAATATAATATATAATATATATTTTCTACCAATATAACTCGCTGATATCAATGCAATATAACGCGTGTGTTACGTAACAGATAAATTGTTGAGTGGGAAATTATAACATTAATGTTACGTTACTGACTGAGTAGGTGTTTATTCGAATTCGATTCTTCATGTAGGCCAATTACCTCGAAACACGGACTTCGAGGCGTGGACGGATCCGTTTTTGATGAACATGCATTTCCAATTGAATCTGACTGCCGGCGACGTTGTCGCCGAGGCGAAATTGCGAATCTACAAGTTGCCGCAGGAGGATCTCGTGACCTCCGTGAGCGGAGACTTCAACGAGGGCGAAGTTCGCGAGAAGAAGATCAGAATATCCGTTTTTTACTACATGAAGTCCCTCAAGACATATCGATGTGAGTGATGAGACCGTTAAACCGGAACGCCGAAGGGGTGATCTCCCCGCGGCGCTATTTCGAGAATTCGGAGGACTTCGATTTTTTTCGTTTCTCCACAGCGAAGAGATGGCTGATGGATTCTGTCTTGACGCCCCTGACGGCCAACGGTGGTTACTTAGTGCTGGATGTGAAGGAGGCCTTGAAATTTTGGAGACTGCCTTCGCGAAATTCGCATGGCAACGGTAGCAATCACGGCCTGGGGATTCAGATAGAGGAGCAGGCCGACGAGAAGAAGCTGAAACCGGCTCTGTATATCCAGCAGCCGTCCTGCGGTGACCACGATTCGGATCAGAAGGCATGTGAGTGTGTGGCCTAACAATACTAACTCTTTTTTTGGAGTCTTGAATTGCCTTGGTATATTTTTCCCATTTTTATTTCGTGTGAGACTAAACAACGTGTGCAGTAACACATGAGAAGCAACGGTGTGTTCACGTAGAGAACGTAATAGATGATTACTTTTTATACACACGCACATACATATGTACACACACATATATACATATAGATAATTTGAATAACGCATGGCGAGTAGATTTCTTCACATGCCGGATGCATGCTCGCTCACGTGTTCAAGTTTTTTTTCCGTAATTCGATCGCCCGTTAAACGTGGAAGTGAAATTATTGAACTCTCTTCCCGCGAAAATTCGTGCTTTCGTTCGTTTGCTGTTGCGCGCGTGTATTTGGATCAGTTCACTCGTAGGAACTTCGACGATTTCGGATTCTCGTTTCTGAAAATCTGACTTTTTCTTTATACAGCCCAGCGCATACCCGCCCTCTTCGTTCGAACCTGTCCTCATTACGTTCGTCTCGTAAACGGTGAGAGAATCATATACAATTGCAGCCGTTAGACAGAGGTGACAAAGCCCGGATCGGATCGAGAAACGAATTCGTTTCGACGCGAAAGAAAGCCGACTTAAATTATACGTTGTGATCGTCGTCCTCTCGAAACACTTGCCATTAGCAGGCGAAGAGACATATATGTGCAATTTATTGTTAAAATTTAAGGGGAATATGTGAGAGAATTAGAGATTCCTTCGAATTTTCATCTAGAGATAAGTCCCGCAGCAGTAGAACTTTTAGCATTAGAAATCGAAAGGAGTTTTTCATAACGATGACAAGGAGAATCTCGCGAAAAAAAGCAATAACGCGATCTGAGACCGGTATTTATAATTGGAAATTATTTGCATCCTTTGTTTGAGAATATAATTACAGATTTGGACACTGTCACGTACAGCGAATTTGTAAGAAAATACATGGACAGTACAGGTATAGATAGACGAATAATCAGAGGTCCGTGAAGCTATGATTATTTATCAAATAATGACAGACTAATAGAAAAAAAAAACCAGCCAGGGAAAAAAAATAGCGAAAATATTGCCGAATTTTGCCACCGAATCCAGTATCGTAATAACGGGTTAACGTATAGATAGAAGTAGAACCAGAGCCTACCGAGCGGAATATCTCGTTGCCGTTTCTTATCATGGAAGAACGTAGCTTAAACGACGGCAGCTTAGTTGTAAAAATAAAGATAAGGTCTTGTAGGGGTTTTCTATGGAGACTGCTATTCGGTATTAACTTAAGAGAGAGAATTATTTATACGCAACAATATAGGGTAGGGGTCTCATCATAACACTACTTGTACGTTAAAGTACACTATCTGCGATTTTCGCATCATAATGTACATACGATTAGGTCCAAAGTAGCGATATCGACGACTTATATGCATTTGCCTACAATGTGTCAACACGCCCATGACTGATGTAGCCACAAATGTGTGTGTGTAAAAGAGTTCAAGATTATATATATATTAAGTATAGATTTTATATTAATTAAGCAACCTGGAACTCTTCCGAGTCTATCAATTGTAGTTGGGTGAATTTGTAGGGTATTTTTTGCGAGTACGTGTCGCGGTAATAACCGCAATCAGAGTCGGGTGTCTCGAGGTCGCAATCGGATTAACTCGATTCCCTCCTTGCTAAAAACCCATGCATCGTATGTCTTGTATGTACGAATAAAGGAGGCGCAATTTCTTCGTCTTGACGCTCTCTACGATACACCGTCGTTGTATATAATGTAAATTTCCATGTCATGTTGCAAACAAATAAATTCATTTGCAGTAATATATATTTAATGTATGTCTAACAAGAAAAAGAATCTCCACCGTTTCCTGTATCTCTTAGCAGCAGAGTTCACCGCATAAAAGCGTACTCTTTGGAAGAGAAACAGCGAATGTTGTACAAAACAGATTTTATTAGAAAGGCTTATATTGTAAGAAAAAGTATGTTCGATGCGATTCCCAGTAAATCGATTTACACTGAATCACCGTTACAATCAGTAAAAAAGAAGCAAGAACATTGTTGATGACGGTTAACTTAAATCATGTTAACCTAGAAGAATACTAAAAGATAAGAGTTATCTATACAAATAATGCAATTCCGATATATAGAATACAAAATACTTGTGATGCATTTTCGGATCAACAATTCATACACCGTTTTGCGGAGAAAGAACATTTTGAAGTTGATTTAATCTGATGTACTCAAACGCGCAAAGAGCATTGTACGCAAGTACAAGTAGTTTGTAATCACAATAATAAATTGAACGATACTTTACTGCTAATACAAATTTTCTCTGAAAACACAAATGCACTTTACGATTGGGATTTTTTTCTTTTTAACTAAAATCAATCAAGATCGATTAGGACTAACATAGAGTACACAATCGCGTGGTTCAAGCGTTACTTTATGATTTGGACTACTTAATGTTGGTCAAACTCCACCTGTAAAATTTACAATACCCCAATAACAATAGTTACACTCATATTTGTATCTTCTGTATCAGAAGACGAACTTATAAAGCACAACATTACCGACATTCAGTCGTCGTGTTATTCCACGCGAGATTTCGGATAGCGGAAATCACGTCATTGATCGCCCGCTTTTTGTGCCCACAGTGTCGTCGAAAATGCTACGAGACGCGCGAAAAACGTGCCGATAAAATATTAACTCTGTGTGATCGCGCTTTGAATACAAACGATTCTCTCTCTCGATCTCACTTTTTCGAGTCCTTTGATCCGACGAATCAACAGGTAATTGTATCGGCCTTTTACTGTAGAATTGTCCGATCGATCTTCGATTCACGGGGTTTCGTCAGCCGAGTGAGTGCACGAAGACTTGGTCAAATATTGTCGATTGTGTGCTACGGTTTGCCACTTGTGGCCCGCCCGACCTAGCTGTCTCGATCGAGGGAGTCCAGGGTGTCGTTGCTGGATGAATGCGTGAGATCGCTCAATTCGTCCAAATGCTTCTGTCGCTTCCTGACGTTCCAGTGAAGGCATTCCGCTAAGGAATCGAACCAATCGGTGATCTGGTCGGTCGCGCAAATACTAGGCACCGGGTAAATCGAAGTAGTCACTCTGAGGCTGAAAAATCACACAATCTTACTCGAAAGGCTCGATTCGACCGGGCATAATTACATTAATACATGTAAATTCTACGCAAAAGCCGATATCATTGAAAGTTTACTTAGCAACAAGATCATTTGTTCGGGACAGGCGATATTTATCGAGCTGTGCCTTCAAATGTTTCAAGCATACTTTTAGCAAAAATTGAAAGAAATGATTTATTCAATAAGAAAAAAGAAATGTTTTTCATGTAAGAGCATATCGACTCGAAACGAAAAATTGTCTTGAGTGCAGAGCAAAGCCTCTTTAGATCCTGCCGAGGATCTACGTGTGAGATGTTTCTCGCAATAATGAAAAATAATGAATAATGAAAAATAAAGTACCATCACCCTGCAGGACAGCCAACGTCTCGCTCCTGGAAAATGTACTAGCGTGACATATCGTAAAAAATGATTAGCAAAAAGAATTCAAAAATCAGCCGGGTAACGATTCGTAGGTAATTTCGATGAATGATCGTCTAAGAAAAAAAAATAAGTGGTATCGACGAATTATACCACTCATAGGGACATAAAGCGGTGTCACAGTCACAAAGGATTGAAAAAAGACTTTTACACAAAGCGAGAAGAAAAATGGGATCTCGACATGAAATAGCTGTACACGGAAAAAAGTGCTATATTTGAGTAAATAATTATTCTATAAATAAACACTCCTCAGCAAATGTTTACTTTGATTAAATAAAGTGTCACTTGATCTGAATAAAAATTGCTAAGAAATGTTGAAATAATTATTTACTTGAATCTAACTTTTATTCTATCGATACTTTTTTCTATGTAAGATAAGCCCTATAGAGAAAAGTGTTGCATATTTTATCGCCTCTCATGAAGAATTCGCAGTATTGAAGTGACGAGAAAGAACTGCGAAAATATGCCGTGTAATAATGCGACGAGGCGATTGAGAGAAAGGCGAAAACAGGCGCGCTGTATGAAATAACCACGAACAGACCTGTCGCCGACGCGCAGCTCTTGCTGATTGCGACCGTCGAAAGAGACGTAAGCTGTACTACGGGCCTGGCTGTTCGCCATTATCTGAAATAATTGCAGAAAAGATTAGACGGAGACTGTCGGACGTTTATGTTTTACCTGTCACCGTGCAGCAGCTCCTGCCTATTTCTACCGTCGAAGGACACCCACGAGGAATTCCTGCTGTCGGGTGAAACCGAGATCTGCGGTGGAAAGCAAGACGACGGTGTTAATTGCCGAATGGGCCACAGCGGCACCGTCGCTCGACGACTCGCCATAAAACAACGTTAATCTCCCGATCCCGATTTATCTTTATTCGCTTCGCCGCTCGTTTCTTTTTTACTTTTCTACGTACCTCGTCTCACAATCGTTCCGAATAATGAACCACGCGTGAGAAGAAACATCTCGAAGGTCGTTCATGAATGCCGACGGTAAAATTAGACGAAACGATTTCTAGTTATTCGTCTCGCCGCGGAAACAATCGTGTCACGACCGTAATCCCGCGTTCTCACGCGCGAAGGAGCGAATCGCTTCCGCCGCGTTCTGAAAAATCCCGGAGACTTCGGCGCGAAACGAGGAGGCGGAGCAGCAATGGTCTGGGAATGCGGGCGACATCCGTCGGAACCAGGTTTCCTTCTACGGAGTATTGACACGGAGCCCGTGGCTCTCGGCACGACGAGAGAATTTACTTTTACCGGGAGCGCGAAAATGCACCGGCATCTCGCTAAATCGTTAGTTACGAGCGCGCATTCTCCCCTCTTTTTCACGGCGGCGGAAATTCTCACTTCCGAATCGGCGCAGAATTTCGACCGCCGCGCAGGTTAACTTGAAATGCCACGGTGACTTGTTCTTTTTCTCTCGTCAGCCGAAGGGGGCTACCTTGAGTTCGACGCCGGCAGGTACGACGATCGGCCTGAAGGACAAAGAGTGAGGGCAGATCGGTGTGATCATGATGGCAGGAACTGAAGGATGCATCATACTGGCACCGGCGGCGACCGCGTAGGCGGTCGACCCGGTCGGCGTGCTCACGATCAAGCCGTCACCCTGGACGCTCGTCACGTGCTTGCCGTCAATGAAAAGGTCGATGTTGGACAGGTAAGGTGAGGGTCCCCGATCCACCACCACCTCGTTCAGCACCAACAGTTTCGTTGGCGCCTTTTCCGGCTGACCCTCCTCGTTCCTGCGCACGATGATGCATCTCAGACGACTCCGTAGGGTCAGGGCCGCGTGACCTGGCGCCGAAAGAATCCAAGCGGTAGAGTGAGGAGAAAAAGAATGAGAGATCGAATAGGATTAACTCGAAAGAATCACTCACCTTCGAGAACGTTGGTCACCTGTTCTCGGAAATTGTCGAACTCGAAGGGGGTGAGAAAACCCAAGGAGCCGAGGTGGAATGCCATTACGGGCGGCACCGATTGTTGAAACAGCAGAGAAGCGTAGAGGAGAGTGCCGTCGCCGCCCAGGCAGATGATGAAATCGATACGATCCTTAAAAACAAGATACGCGATACATTCTGTTTGGGATGAGAGAAAGAGTATAAATTAAGTGCCGATTCGAATTTTTATCGTGTGTACGTAGAGCTGTTTATTTTGCAATTAAGAACCGGGTCGGGCGCGATAAGCGTCGAAATGAACTTTAGCTTTACTATTCTATTTTATGACGTCTATATTTAGTCGTAGTGCGGAACTCGTCAGGAGTCCCATTGCAAACGTAACACTCGTCTCTTTAAAATACCGAACGTTATTACCTGCAAGTCATCTCCGTCCCTGAAGGTTTGCAATTTGTCACGAACACCTTGGAACCTGGGATCTCTGGCCAATGCCGGATCTTCCAAAACGGAAGCTTCCACAAAGACCACCATTTGTTTCTCCTGCATTCAGAAATGAATGGCTCTATTCAATACTGTCGATTTGTGAAGCATATGAATCGCCGTCATGTAGTTTCGGCTATTTTAGCCGAGATGTTGCTTTCAGTAGAGAATCATGTTATCATTCGTAGGTGAAGATCGGTTATTTTCTCGTATCCTGACACATGAACATCGATAGCCTTTAACGGTATATCTTTAATTAGGTGTTGTATATTAACTAGATATTTATCCGCGAACTTAGATTTAAAATGTGAGCTCGGCTATCTCTTCAGCAGCCATGTTAATTTATGTTATAGGCGAAAAATGACATGCGATAAATTTTCTGCGACGTATAACCGTGACAGCTGAGACGGCTGAAAAGTGATCTATATTTCAAGAATTATTTTACGATTCTACGTGACATATCGGACGGACATTTCAGTTTGCCGCATATTTTATAGGGTTCAGGATTACGAAGGTGTTATGTTTCTCAGGGGAAACGAGAAAATGGAGATATATGCTGTAAAAAATTTGGCGCCAGTCACTCCTCGCCTATGACGCCATAAAACTTATACGGCTGCCCGAGGTGTAATGAGCAAAAAAGAGGGAAAATAACTGATTTAACGTGGCGACATGAATGAATAAAAAGAAACATAGTATCAAGATTCCCCGGTGACGGAAATATCAGAAATATGTATCGCGTTTTTCATGCGAATAAAATGAGAATTAACGTTCTCTGATGTTGTATTATAAAAAAAATGGGTTCTTGGTATGAATCGATAGCTTTCACGCTGGCGAATCTCCCGATCGGCCGATTTCTCGCTCGATTCTTGAAAACAACCTTATCATCTATATTATAACCTGTATCAGCCATGTGACCATCTCAACAAACGGCGGCAGGACCGCCGAATCGCGGACTTTTTTGATGACCAGAACGGTGAGCGGTGGCTTGTACCACGTCAACCTCTGAGAAGCTGGATCTTGGATAGCCCTGGAAAAAAAGAAGCGGAGGGGAACTGTTATACGTTTGCACACAGTATCACTCTCTTCTGATGCACAATCATCAGTTGAGTTGAACTCTTCGCTCGCACGCGCTCCTTGTCTCGACGCGTGCGAGCGAAGTCGCTTCCACGGAAAACAGCGTCAAACTTATCGCGGAGTTCAAAAGAAGAGTATGGATCAATGGCACTTTATGTAAGCGACGTAACGGATCTCGCATTCTTCTCGTCGACAACCGGACGGCAGGCCGACCTATTGCGCTGTCTGTCGATTCGACGGGCTTCATCTAATTATTCATGAGCCGTCGTAATTGCGTCCGTAAAATTCAAGAAACAATCGGGCCGAAGGTGATGTGCAGAAAGCCCGTTGATGTATTATCATTCCTTCCGCTGCCTACGATTCAATGACGACACGTGTTATCGGGTTTTTTGCTGCTTATGATTATCCCGGCAATTATGGTGCGCTCCGCGACGCGCTTACTACATTTCCTGCGCGTTCAAGAAACGAGTGACAAGAAAGAAAAAAAAGAGATTCAAGTTTAACTCGTTACACACGAATCCGCGGACACCGGCCAGCCGAACGTCCCGCGATCACGCGAGAAAAGACAAAACGCGTGAATCCATGGCAACTTCTTGCGGTTTCTTCGACTCTCCGAAACGAAACTTTTTAATTGCACAGCCTTTTTCTCTCTCTTTTTTTTTCTTTTCGTTCTGACCATAGCGATCACACACGAAACGTCCGAGCGGCGTGACTGTTCGACATGCACCCGGAACACACTATTGACGCGTCGGTGATTCCGCCAGACGTGTTTTTACACGTCGATTATTGGTCGGTTGTCAATGATATGAAAAACGATGCCGCGACCCACTTGATAATGCCAACCATGATGCGACGAAGCCGGCCGTTACGAAGCTCACGCGCTTACTAAACTCCGCGCGTCACCGCGCCGATCGTTTTTACCGCCGCGCAATTGAACGGACAATTGAACACGCATGCGTTTCCTCGCGATCCGAATCGCCGCGAGTCCTTGTCTTTCACGTACACCGTACGTGCTCGCTTAGTAAAAATATGATTACGGTGCGGTTATCCACGCAAATACGTAACTCGGAATATCCGACGAGCTCTTACCGTATTTGTACTATAATAATGCATGCGAATAATAAGTGAATCGCGCGGGACGATGCAAAACAAATGTGTACCCCCGATGGTGACGATAATGACGTGAACGTCCCGGGGATGACTCTCGAGGGGATCCCGCAGTCGTTCTGTTTCGCCGCAAATTTGCCAGTCGATTGGTTATTATACTCGTTATTGGCCGCACGTAATTAAAAATCCTCTCGCAATTACAATATACACGTTAACGTAGACGAAGACGGTTGACTTTTAGTCGAAAAACGAAAAAAAGCTTTGTGATTCGTTAACTTTTCTCGTTTTTCGAATAAAAGTCAACTGTCTTCGACTACATTACCGTGTATATTGCAAAAGGAATTTAATGCTGCACAGCCAGGAATGAGGACGGTACTAATGAATTTGCGGTAAAACAGAACGACTGTAGGACACCTCCTTAAGTATCGTCTGTCAGGAATCGGAATTATAATCGGAGCGAGGAAGAACAACACGGACTTACGTTGAATTCACGGTTTCGAGGAAAATCGCGGAATAATCCATATTAAATATCGTTTATCATCAGCGATCACAACATGTGGGTGTTACTTATCGGACATTCGCCTCGCATTCGTCCACTGCAGCCTCAAGTGCCGAAGTGTAACTTCTCACGATGTGCAAACTGCCGCTACAGTTGGTAGAATGTTATATGTGCCACGGTATAAAAAAGTGTCGTGCACCCAGATTGACGGCCCACCTTTCTGTTCCAACCATGATATCGGTGGCGGTTGAGGGATACGCGTTTACTGAGCGAGCACAACTATGTTGCGGATATATTCAAGAGAAACGATGCACGTGCACGGCTGAGCTGCGCACGCGTGTGCGCATCACGTGACAAGGCGGGAAATCGAGGCAATAGCGCGTGATTCACTGTTACGTCTGCGATATTGGCGCTCGCTCTTTTTCGAATGGAAAAGAAAAGGAAGGGAAAGGACCCATGAGGGCCTGGTTCAAGAAAGTTCGGGCTCTCATCGACCCTTTCTTTTTCTTTATCCGCTTGAATATCATTGGAACCGGTTATATATTTTATTTTCGAAAATGTGTCCGTTACGATTAGTATTCATCATTGTTTACTCCGAGATTGTTCTGTAATATATTGATGTTCATTTGAGATTCAGATCGATCGCGTATACGCATCGGCAAGGTCTTCTCGAATTTTCCACGTGTGCAACGCGAATTGGTTATAAAATGAAAGAATTACGTTTTTAAAAAGTGAATAAAAGAGAAATAGACGTGTTTCGTCTTTTAAGACGTTTCGCGATCTGCGTGAATCCAACACGTTCATTACTTAATTATCTGATATACATATTTTAAGTTTAGACAAGTAGTAAGTAGTTAAGTTTGCTTGATTATAAGATTAGATAGATTAGATTATATTTATTAAAATTAGATAGATTAGATTATAAAGGAGAGAAACGTACATTAATATTAAGCGATATGTATAATCTAAAACACTCCTCTCTGCTGATTGAAATTTAGTCTCAAAAAATTGTAAACAATCTTTTTTAGAAGAAATGGCCATGAAAATTGTTGTTTTATGCTAAGCCCACTAAGTTGAGCCCAAAATGCTTGCTGTCTACACCTCTCCCACTTAAATCATTTAATTAAATTGATCATTACAGATTAATTTAAACCGACGTCGAATGTATCATGAAACGAACAACGTGTGATGTACAGAATATGTCATGATAACACGATAACACGGGAAATTGAAACACAAGAAATGTCAAAACTGTCGTAATATCTCAACATTACATTTCAAATTCTATCGCATTGTCTAGTCACGCTTAGTCATCATTCCTTGCAAAAAGGAACGCAAATGAGCCGCCGCCGCCGCACGATTTTAGTGTGTTCGACATTTATTACACAAACGTGCCGATTACAATCTCCCCGTGTGTGATTGTGTGCTAATGAAGATGATCGTTAAGCTTAACCCTCCGAAGAAAACGAATGCATCCCGGAAGAACGAACCTTGAAGCGTTTGAGAATTTTTTTCACGTGTCCACCACGTACTGAAGATTAATTATTTTTAATCTATAATCAACCGTGATAATTGATCTATTACGATTTATGAGTATTATAAATTTGACAGACGACGATGATCGATACGACCATGAGGTTTTCCTGTTCAATTATCGATGATAATATTGAATTGATGATAATATTGATTATTACTATGATGTAAATGCACCTTGTGAAATTAGATTAACGAGAGTAATAAGCGTGTGTGTGTTTATGAATATTCATGAATAACAAAAAACGCTCGTCAATAACGTGACTACGGGAGTACTCGATAGGCGATTAACCACACCTCTCTTGATTGCCCGAATGAAAATGCATTTACAGTTACTTACACAACTGACGCAGAATTTTTCATGATACGCCCACATCGCCCGAACAGTTGGTACGGATTGGGTGCATTTAAACTCCTTGTCCTCCTGAAATGCAAAAAGCACAGAAGATCAGAACGTATAGAGACAGACGCGTCTCGATGATTACGTGCACAATGTTGCCGACCATGGCGGAAAAAAGAAAAAAGAAGGGCAAAAACAGTACAATTTGCACAATCAACAGCGGCAGTAGCTTCATGGTTCATGTATTAATACGCCGAAGTCAAGGCGATTATTCTTGACATTATTACTTATCGATATGCGTACGAGTTGCAATTACAGTGCATCACCCACCGCGCCATGTAAATTTTTCCGACTCTTCCGTCACGAAATGTAGAAGTACCTTGGCGTCAGCGTTACTCCACGTACGATAACAGCGCTACCATCCAGTCACTTAAGCCAACCTTTTATCGTCTTTCTTGACTCTCACTAAAAAATTCATTGTTGTCCAAAATCGGGATACTATAATCATTGTTTTCTTCTGTGCCGTGCCGTTAAATTCGTAAAATATACGCGTTTTATATATATTTTAGCTGTTTCCTTTAATAACATCGCTCCAAAAATGTATTGTTCATGCCTTCCTTCCTTATTATGAATTTTAAAACCATGCTACAAAAGGAACTCGCAATACCCGAAATTTCAATCCTACTTTAAATTTTTAAAGGCCTTCTATCGTGCTCCCTTTGATGCTGCGAATGAGAAGTTATTTCTGTTTTCTCCAGTGAAGACATAACGTAGGATTTAAAATTTCTCCCCGGGAGGTCTAAATTTCCTTTGTAGCATTAAAAGAGCGTTATTACTGCTCGTTTGACGATACAAATGGTAAGTTATTTCCATTTTCTCTACTTGAAGACTTAATGTAGAATCAAGTAAACGTAATGTAGGACATAATGTCGACTCAGGTATGTGTTGTCTAAAGATAAGACTGGAAAAATGTTACTTTTTTCTTTAAAGGCCTTAATTACTCTTCGTCAAAAAATGTCACTTTTGGTCACTATTTTAATGTCCGAAAGGTCATTTCTGTCATCTTTTTTGCCAAGGAACATCCTTTTATTTCACTCTTTCGTTCCGGTGACTGAATGACAGCGCTGTAATAAGAGTCGAACGGCGACGTGACCTGTGCATCTGTTATAGGGTAATAATACTTCCTAAAACGACATAATTCAAGTTCGCCTGCCCCGTTTTCCATTCCACGTCCTTCGCGCTGCAATCGAACGCGGGATAAATCCAGCACGTGATCCACGCGTGCGCTTGATTCATCTCGGATATCTCCAGCGAACAATCCGCCGAGTCTCAAGATCCGTATGGTAAAAGCGTGAGTCTCCATCTGCGAATCGCTGACCGCTGGAGAGCACCCGGCTCGAAATTTTCGTCCTATTTGGAGTCTAATTCAGTTCTCTTTAATTCTACGTTAAGTGTTCAAAGGTCATCTGCTCCTTTGATGCTACAAGTGGGAACTTACTTCCGTTTTCTCCACTTGAGGACTTAAAGTACAATTGAAAATTTCGACTCGGGCGTCTTTACGTGGCTCGTGACGGTTAATCAATAATCACGCCGGGGGTGTCTACCTGAGAGCACGAATCTTCTGGATACTCGTCGTCAACGATACGTTCGATCCGTTGTACTGGCATTCGATGTCGCACGTGTCATCGTCTGGCATACCGTCACTGTCACGCGAGGCTAGGCTCGAGTCTGTCATCTCGTGTATCAGCGGATGACAACGCGCTTCTTGGCGAAAAGAGGAACGGTTCTTCGCGACAACGTTCACGGTATACTTCAAGGTGTCCACGATTGCAATTAACGGTGACTAACAATCGACTCGCCGCGAGAGATTCACGAGTCAGCCGAGACGGCATAGTTATGCTGATAAGATACCGCGCGATTTATCGCGTTTCCTCGTTATTTATCGCGATTAGTATGACGCGGTAACTGTTAAGCGCTGATCTTCCGGAGATAATTGAAATGTAACAGACGCATATAAAGATCGCACGGCGCGTGAAGCGACCGGATGAAGTAGCCTCGAGGCGAGCTCGCACGCGCGTCACGCGTGATCTATTGGCAAATTTGTTTATTCTGAGATCCGTGTGAAATCAGCGGGAAATAGTCTCGGAAATTAACGCTATCAGGAGCTCTCTTTCCTTTCGACGTACGCGAAAAGATATCTGTAAAATTGCGAAGATAAACCGTCATGTTCCCGAGACAATTCGTTCCGCTGCGCCCGCTAGGTCGAGATAGTCATTCAGTTTCGTTCCTCTCTTATTGGAAACTTTCCACCCTTTACTCAATTTGTCGAAAATTATTGGGCAGGCTTGGAGCGCCCTGCAATTTCACGGTTACAAAGTACGCGAAATGGACTTTCACGAACGTCCGATCGGATTTCTAAGCTCGGCTCTGACAGAATCGCGCGCGCGTTTCTGCGCAGAATATGGGAGCCTCGGCTTCAAAAGTTGGCCTTGTTTTGGACGTTGACACTACAACACTCTGCTGATCGTAGATATCGTCGGGGCCACTTTAAGATTCACAGACCTTTCGTTATTTTCGCAAAATACCGAGAGACCGAAGCGCACTGTCAATCGTGTATCTTGTCAACCGGCATAGTTTATAGACTACATTTCACGGGCATGACTTCACCATTACGCAATCCTCATCGTCGCATTCCGAGCGCGAGAGACTCTAACTGGGAAAGAAATCTCCAGCGAGAAGAAATCGTACATTATTATGCATTAAATAATACGAGATACAAACTTGGTAACTGCGGTCGTGCAGCGATCTTGAATCGATATATCGAGCTCGCGTCAAAGAGAAAACGGTTGAATGAGGAACAATTTTGCGAGTAAGTCGCACGGCGGTGTACTACGCAAGTGGCGAATCGCGGGCCTTGAACTTCGCTCGAAACTTCTCGCCGAAGCCACTTCAGTTTGCGCTAGGCCGCGATCTTCCCCCTCGATTCCAACATCTCGATATAGACATCGCGACATCGCGTGATTAACTTGTACTTTCGTCCCGACTAGAAATATCTTTGAAATCACTGCCATCACCAAACAAATCGGCAATGCGGCACCGTCTTCCCAACGCGACTCTCCGTACGTGAAAAATACTAGATATCGTGCGACTATCGACGACAACTTTGCTCTCATAGACGATATCGAACACTCGAGCGACTACTGCGCACTAAATGACACGTGAATCGCTGACAGTGCGTGATTATAAGATCCTGATTAGTGATTGATTAGTCGACTTTTAGAAAACCGATCTTCCTCCTCCAAAAATCGATCCTTTTCCGTTGGATTTTTGTACTACGATTTGATTTTTTCAATAGCGAATCAACTTCTGATTCGTTGATATGCTCATTCATCGATGTTGTTTCGTTTAATGAAGAATTCATACTGGGATCGACATCTGATACAATTAGGATATTGCTTTAGGTGTGTATTTTAGAGGACCATATAAGTGTGGATAAATTTGGCTGTGAGCAAATAATTACCACCAAGGATCTAGAATTTCAACCAATCGAAATCGTAGTTATTGCTTCCACTGAAGGCTGATATTTCATTTATGGTGTTCTGCACTCGGAACACATAAACGCTTTGATTGTTAGTGATTATTTTATGCTCTAAACCTAGTTGAATATATAAGAAGCTTATGTGAGAAACTTGAGTTCGAACCACACTATGGTTATTGCAAACATGATGAAGGATGCAACATCGCATATTCCCTTCATTTTTGACAATCTTCGTTTGGTAGCAATCGGGAATGAAAAAAATTGATCATGCTTCCTGAATCGTTGTGACGCAAAATCTCTGTGCTATCTTCATTTTTAAATCATACGTCGAATTCTCATATTTTTTTAAGTATACTTCACATAGGTTGAATCATTCTTGTATAAATACGACCAATTAACTTTATATAAATTTAGTAGATACGCTTATAAAATAAGAAGAAACGTATATTTCACTGCTCATTGCGTGCGATTTTGAGGAAGTCGATTCTTTCAGTCCGATTTTTTAGTAAATCGATTCTAGTTATTCCGATTGAAGGTCGATTAAAAAATCGACTTCTCCTAAAAGATCGCTCATCACTTAACCTGATATTATGAGAGGTGATCGCTTCGGCGGTCGGTAAACGATCCGTACGTGAGGTTCGCGTCGACGCTGTGCCGCAGGTGGTAACCTTCCGATCGCGTGTCGCAACCACGCGATGCCGAGATAATTCTGGAGCTGAATTCACGAGGAGGAACACAAGCCGTGCCTCGATGTCGGTGCACTCGGTGCGCGAAATGCGAGGGTATTTTTGTCGTCCGCTGCCGGCCGTACCTCCTCGACGATCGCGTAGTTATTTTTTCTTGCTCAAGCATATGCACACGTTGATGTAACAGCGCTCTCTTCGTGCGCGACGGCGCGGTTGCGAGAGCGAGCGGGCGCTCGTCCATCGCGCGACACGCATCGCCCTTTAAAGCGCACTGTCTCGCGGACGAGCGGCCGTGAGATATGGAAACAAACGCGAGACGTCGGGGAAATTGGACAGAATTGACGATCATCGGCGGTCCAGCGATGTCGATCGGCCTCACCCTTGCAACAATCGCCCCTCTTCTCGAGTTGCATGATGCAGTCGACTCCCGTCAGCTCCCCGGGATCGTTGAGATAGGTCTCGTCGCCGAGGCGCATATTTTTTCTTCCAGTTTCATCCGACAAATCGAACGAGAGGAAACTTTCTCTCGGCCGGTGAGGAAACACTACTACTGGTACGCTTTGCCTCCAAGCGACACGAAAGTTTCCTCACGCGAGAAGCCTCGCAGCCCGTGTCACGATGAGTACACACCGACGTGTGCCGTGTTAGGGAGGTCCGGGGGATCCCAAAGTAATGTCGCAATAATCGTATAACCGATCGCTATGAGCGGGCCGAGAACCACAGCAGAGTCCACAATAATGAGACTTTCGGCCTCCGAATCGAAAAGCGAGCCGCGACCGGCTGTTTGGCCCCGACCGGCGAAGAGAAAACGGAGAGAACGCGCGTGGTTCGGTAATCGATTGCATCGGGCGTGAATTCTTGAAATTCCGCGCAATGGAGGCGCCATGAGCGAGCCGTACGGGAGCCCATCGAGCAAAAGCCGGATCGGATGGAATGTGCGGCGAAAGGTGAACGCGTTCTCGCTCTCGAAGAAAGGAGCAACAAAAAGTGCTCCTGCGGCGTTCGTGATTCGAGCGAATACCGGCTGAGGTGCACGTGCAGCTAAATATCAATGCGTAATTTCAATGCGTAGACCACCGTGATGAGGAGGGACGATCGAGAAGCAAGGGCACCCGTTATGCCACGTCTAACGTCGTCGTCGCCAGCTGCGTGTCGTCGAAAGATCGCACTTTCGTTCAAAGTGGACGCAGATGGCACGCCGTGTTGCCATGGAAGGATGTATGCGTATAACAGCGCGAAATCAATCGTTACTCTCAGTCCGCAATGATACCTTAATTCAGCCTCGTCCATGTGCGCCGACGATGACCAGCGCACGTTCACACACCTTGATCCTTCCTTCTTCTTCGTGGGGCGGAGGGGAGAAGAAATGCGGTGCTTGCGGACAATTGAGGCGATGTGGACCTGCGATGATTAAGGCACGCTTCGGCACTGACGTGCCGCGAGGAACGAGCCGGGTATTGGCGTAGTCTCGTAGGTCGAGAACGCCGGCGTCGCGACGCCCAGCGCGACGCACGCAGGCGCGACCGTCGGTCACTAATCAATTCCGTCACGCAACCCATTTGTTCGAGCGTTATTCCCATTCAACCCTTTTTTTGTTTCTTGTATCTTTCATCAGTTTCTCGATCGATGGAGTTAGAAACGATCGATTCGGTTAGAGGGTGTCAGAATATGCGACGCGAAGCGCGAAGATTCAGTTGTAAATGTATTGGTAAATATATTAGTACATTGAGAGAAAATATCTTGAAAATAAGGAATTTTACTTGAAGGAAAAAATTAATTATTTGATGGGCGGCAGTAATATATTTACTTGCACTCGAGCCTTAAAGTTGTCTTAATTGAAACAATTATTTAAATAAATGTAGAAAATTGTTATATATTATGAGATGTATATATGAAATATGGATAGAAAAAATATATCTTCTTCTTCTTTTAACGTATATATTTTCTTGGCATAGAATTTATATGTTAAAAAACTATAACTTTTAATCAAATATTGTATTAATTTCGTTCTAGAAAATATTTACTGTTAGGTCATTTTTATATGCAGGAAAATAGAATGTTTTAACCTTAGAAAACAATTTACTTCACTTTAATAATATAATTAGGTAATTTATTTAATCATTATTTCAAAATGAAGCACGAAATAATGCACTTAAGATACAAGATACATGTGTATAATTTATAATTAAAACTAAGTAATTTTACTTAAATAAAATAAGTAAATACTTGCATCAAGAGGCATGATTTCAAGAAAATATACTTTTTTTTTTCATTCAAAAAAATTCTTTTTTCAGTGTAAATCGGTTGATTTGAAAGCGAATCTTAAACGTCTTGATTCCATATTGTCACAAATAACTTTCGTTTCATTCAATTTTTATTTTAATTCAATATTTATTTAATTTTCCATTTTCCATTCAATATTTATTTAATTTTCCATTTTCAACGATTCCTTTGCATATTTAACTCTACCTCAAAACGCAGTTAAATATTTGCAATATTGAAGTTAAATCGAGCGCGTCAAGTGGAGTTCGATTAGGTTTTAGCGACCTAATACGGCACAATGTAATCTTCAATGAGGTTGTGGCAAAACAAGTGTTGAGTAAGCCAACATGCGTCGAGCCTCATGTTTCGTGCGAGCTGAATTAGATTACGTGATTCCAGTTTAATTACGAATCAGATTACGTGATTCCAGTTTAATTACGAAATTGATCAACCTGGTTTCTTGCTCGCTCGAGCCCTCGTAGCCGGCGCGATTTTGTAATAATCGACGAAATAGCGTTGACATTATGTAGGCTAATTAATACAACAGTATATTTTTAGCAACATATCGAGAACACTATTGTGTCACCTGCGATTATCATCGAGCCAACCTCGCGTATATTTTTAACGTGAGCAATCAAGCACTATACGTCGATTAAAAAAACAATTTTTTTTAATGATCAGAAACAAAAAAATTCCGGTACCGGGAATCGAACCCGAGCCTCCTGGGTGAGAGCCAGGTATCCTAGCCACTAGACCATACCGGAGCTCGAATATCTCGGCTTTGTATAAGCTTCTGTCCAGTTCGGCCACGCGAGCGAGGCAAAATGGAACTTTCGTTCCAGAGCGCAAAAGATATATTCCGGTACCGGGAATCGAACCCGAGCCTCCTGGGTGAAAGCCAGGTATCCTAGCCACTAGACCATACCGGAGCTCGAGTGTCTCAGGATTATATAAGATTCTCCTGCTACGGACAGCGAGTAGAGTCCAAGTCAAAGCAAGTCTTATGAGGAAAAAGGCATAATGTTCGCAAAAAATAATTGTCGGAACTTAAACAATTTGAAAATACCGAATACGATTTAATGGCTTTGCAATAAGGACTCTCACGTAATTTTCCACTTGATTAAACTTATTAACACGTTGACTGCCAGATTGGTTTTTATTGTACAAAAAAGTCGAACTGATTGAAAATTAAATTGGTTGGAATTAAAATACTGCAATATGTAAATTAAGACACGTACATCCGTACGAAAAAGATCTACAAGAATACGAAAAAATTACTGAAATGCTATTGAAAAACAATAGTTTTTCAGTAATATACCAATAATTTTGTTGTACTCCTGTAATTCTTTTCCCTATGGGCTATCTTTTATCTCGTTTCATGAACTCTATTGACTCTACAGACAATTTGATAGATGTAATTAATTATATGTAACTTAATAAGATATGTACGTAATAAGATCATATCAGTCATCAGTGATTGCCACGGTATTTAACGTGTTAAGATACGACACTAACAGTTTATCGGTTCGGTTGTCACTGTGATTCAATAGTTACGTTCGCATACAATTGATTCGTGTAAAAAGGCATTTATAGTTTCCCGCCTTCACGCATCCGATTTAGTATGGCATACTAAAGTCCCTGTTCACTGAGAGAAGTCGTTTGTAATCCTGTTGAAGAACAGCCAAGTATCCAGGCTGAATAACAAGCGCCATTCTTTTGTGAAAAAAATTTTCCCTTTGCCTCTCGGTAAGAGATCATAAATAGAGTCAAAACTAATGTAAAATATATTCCCACGGGATACGCTTAAAGGCCGGAAAACGAGTTTATGCTTTTTGTGTGGAGACTGGAGATCCTAATCACTAAACCTTACTGAATAAAAAATATCATTCATAAAATATCAGATTTCGAGGCGGTGGGCGATTATGAACGAAGTCACGATGATCTCGCGGGACAAAAGAAATTTCGGCATTGAGATTCAAATCCCAGTAACCTTTTGGATTACAGGTATCATGCTGACGGTGAATTTCTAGGCAATATCAAATGATTAATATGAATTTTTGTTCGATCTCAGAACTACGTGCCGCTCTGAATGGAGGCAGAATACATTGTTTTGTCCTCTCCTCAAGAGACAAAAGATAAAGAACAAAAGGTAAATTCCGGTACCGGGAATCGAACCCGAGCCTCCTGGGTGAGAGCCAGGTATCCTAGCCACTAGACCATACCGGACGCTGAGTACGTCAGCTACGTGTGAGGTTCTGAAGCTCGCGGTTTACGCTCGGAGCAAAAATAAAATACGATCCTACGGGACAAAAGATATATTCCGGTACCGGGAATCGAACCCGAGCCTCCTGGGTGAGAGCCAGGTATCCTAGCCACTAGACCATACCGGAGTTGAATGCGACCGTGTTACATTGCGTGTTCCGTGCTCTGTGTTGAGGTAATGTTAGATCCCGCGCCTTGAGAACCAATTAACTAATTAGAAAGATATCCGTTACTTTCACGCGCGAGCGAAGAGCGCCGAGCGATGAGTGCCGGCGGTATAAATTATGCCGGCTCCGCGGCATAAAACGTTGCCAGCTCATTTTGTAACCATGCCTCGAAATTGTTTACGCGTTACGTTCCTCGTGTTTTGCTCGCAGTCAAGCGTGAAGAACAGAATTTAACGTTGAGTTTCAAGATACGCGAAACAAGAAGAAGAGGATCGAATGCCCCGGTCGAATTATAATTGAAATGTAGGACTCTCTGCTTTCTCGGTACCGGATAGCCGCTACTTCGTGAAACTTCTTCGATCGTCGTTTGTATTTCGCTTCGCGAAAGGACGCCCAACCGGCTGACGTTTTTACGATATTATTAGCCTCGCCGTTCATTGGACGCTTCCCAAAGGCGCATTTCGCTCGGACACTTCCCGGAAGATTCTGATAATTTCTACTCACGGCCATGTACCGGATCGTTTTCGTCGGCGCGTTTCCGGCTCCCTGTCACGATCCTCCAGGAAGAGCCCTTCCCCATCGCCGGTGTCGATCACGGCGACGGCGTCCTTGCATCCGGCTACGCATCTCCAATCGAGCAGATCGCTCACACTCCGGCTGCGCGGCTTTTCCTTCACCATGTCCGTCAAGCGGGCAGCATCTCCTCGAAATTTCGACGCGGGTGCCCGGCACTTCGCGATTAGATTAGATCGGCTCGATCCGCCCAACGTTGATCTCCGCGGGATTTACAGCTCTACGCTTTCGCTTTTACTCGTGGCATTCGCAACGACTTCGCATAATTGCCGGCATCTCCGGTCGAGACTCCTCTCGGGGAGTTCCAGCGAGTCGCCTGGACGGACAATCAGCTGCTGCTACCTCGGCACGTGTTTCCCGAGCGCGCGCTACTTTCGAGCGTACTATGCGCTTTCTTTCTTTCGCAACAATAATCACTCGTGACATCCGAAGACCTCCTTTCGCGCGACGGTCGTTCTCGCGGTTCGCAAACTGAGAGAATAACGCGCCTGTCCGACTAATCGTAGCATCGTTCCTGGTAACACCGACGGTGATAACGCGCTCACTTCACTCCCCGAGTACGAGAGGCATCCAAGGCCGCAAGTATCCGCGACACCGCGAGTAGCGTCCTCTTCACTCGCGCATCGATCGCGGATTTTAATCAATTTCAGCTCGGCTTTCGAGGTTTTCCTAACGGCGACCTCTCATTGAGGTCGCGCGAATAGAGGGGCTTTTGAGGAAACGTCGCTCAAACTTGCTTCCTGTGTCGTATTAACGCGCGTTTGCGACCTACTTCCCGAGAATTTCACTTGCCGATGGACGTGACGGCCGATAATAAATGTAGCTCGCTGTAGCCCGCGGGTTCTTCGTCGCGTTCGGTTCTTTATTTTACGTGCTTGGTTAGCGGCGTTTATATTCACGAAACTCCAGCTCGCGCGATGTTAGCGCGACTGTTACGCAAGCCTGCTTGAACAAACTAATGTAACGCGCGGCGACAGATAATTAGAAGCGTAATCTCGCGATATATTATGCGAGGAGTCGCTTACCGTGCACATTTCGATGCGAAGTGCAAAAGCCGTTAGCTCTATTCGTTGCTTTGTCTTTCATGAAAGTAACGTTTCTTTCGTGCATATTCCGATGGTCATCGACGCGCAGCGTGCGCTGCGGATGTAACACTCGTTCGATCGGGATCACGACGAAAGTTGAAATCTCATCGGCCGATACATCCCGCGCGATTCGATCTCGCTGCTGGCCGAAGTGTGCCACGCGCGTTCACACGGGCCTGATTTTCGAATGAATTCTCCTCCGGCGGGCTTTACACGGAGAGATCATGCTCTACAGTGAGAGAAGTAGGCTAAATCAGCGTGTATTCGTTAAAGGAATGAAACGAGGCCTCTCGAAGTTGGCACATACGGCGAACTGCAACCGCGATCGACGACCGCCGAACGTTCACTGAGGAACGATTTTACGGGCTGCAACCAGCCGAGAGGCGGTTAGGGCTTTCTAACCCGCGTCTTCCCCCTCCCATTATATGTGCCCCCGTTATCGTCGCGCTCGTGATACCGGAGAACTCCGCGAAAGGGTCGAGAGTTCGCGATGGCTTTGCAAGTGTCGGCACTTCAGATCGATAGACGAGAACAATTCGTCGGTGTAATCCGTTTTGTCCTTATTTATTATCTCTTTTTTTTTTTTCTTGTATATTGCCTTTATGCGTCTTTTTTATTTCTCTTCATATTATCTCCATTGATCATCATCACTCGATGATCAGAGTTGTTAAGTTTTCAGTAAGAGTCTCTTTAAAATCGTCGGCCTCGCGGAGAAGTCGAGTTTGTTCTTTTACGCTCTAATGACTCACTCCGGCGAGACAAAGGCACCATCGTCATGTACGAAACTACTTACTGCGGTAGTTGCCGGAAATCCCTTCGACGGTGCCGTCTACTTCCGGTCGGTGAAAGCGACAATAGCTCTAAGGCGAACACGCTGTCCACTCGTACTCGTCCGACGACGACTATAACTCGCCGAGTTGCTTGATGATGTTTTTGACAAACCGGCACGGCCCATTTCTTCACACTTGTTCTCTTTTTCTCCTGATAAACGCGAGCCAACTGTTTGCTCGTGTCGTTTCGCTTTCGCAATCGTCGGTTCGATTTTCCCCGTTATCAGTACTTCGTGCATATTCGCTCGCGCCTCCGCGACAGTACACATCGACATGCTTTGAATAATGTATGACATCGTAGATAGTCGTAACCAAAAGTATATTTTGCATCACACGATAAGCAAAACTCACTGTTCTTACTTTCGCCAATTCCATTTTTTAGCGATCCACTCTTTTGAGACTGAAGTTTTCGAGCGAACTCATAATACTAAGACCGGTGCACTTTCAACGACAAATATTGACGGAACAGTTAAGACATGTTAAACGATGAGTTAAAAGATGACACGCTTAACGATGATAATGCAAAATTTCGCCGGAAACGTAGCGCGTTTCTTCCCAAAGTTATGATCTGTGAGCCGCGGCGCAATTTTTTCAATCTACAGCGGCATTCGTTTCAGTCATACGACGATCAAACATTCCACGGCATTACGCGTGTACATGTGTAGGTCTCGACGTCGATAACGATGACCTTGGGGTAACATATAATGCCGACTGTATTTTGTTCATAACTCACGTTCAACAGGCGCTGACAAAATCAATAAATATCCACGGTGGTCTTCCCCTTTTTAGGCAAATACTTTCTCTAAAATCCGTGAATTTCTTTATTCCAAATTATTTTGCCTTTGGCACGATGCTTCCACGTTAAAATGTATTTTTAATGCCAAGGCGAAACGTTTTATTCAATATGTCTGGAAATGAAAAGTCTTTCCATACAAATGACGCAGTAAATGCGCAGATAAAAATTGACTTATGCAAGTGATCGGTCGATGAATAATCAACAGTTGACTTATTTACAAAGTAGATGCATACGATAAATGACGAAACCGTATTTTTTTTTTGAAAATAGCAATTGCAATTTATAATTATGTCAAATCCAGTACACACCTTCACTATAAGCATAAATATTCGCAGGTGCGATGGTGGTGTAATGGTTAGCATAGTTGCCTTCCAAGCAGTTGATCCGGGTTCGATTCCCGGCCATCGCACATATTTTTTTTCTTTTTTGTTATATTGCGACTTTATATTTTTATAAAAAGTAATATCTTCAAAATATGCGTCTGCGATATAGGCATAATTTCTTTTTTTTATATATAATAATTATAGCATAATTTTGTTGATTGAGCACTATGGTATGAATATGTGTCCACAGTTTTGCAATTGCACATTCCGATTATTCATAGATTAAATGTAGAGTTTATATAATATTGTTATAAAATGAATGCACGAAGTATGCTTTAACTTATCGATTTCAACTTCAGGCATGACTTACTCATATCCCCTAATGTAAACGTCGGAATATCAACAGCACTGCTGGTGTAGTGGTATCATGCAAGATTCCCATTCTTGCGACCCGGGTTCGATTCCCGGGCAGTGCAGGTATTTTTTTTTGCATGTATGTTCCTGGCTCAATTCACGAGTTCACTTTGAAGCGGAAAGCCTCAGGAAAAAATAATTAGCAGAAAAATAAGACTTTTCTGTCAATCTGAGATTTTTTTTCAACTTCTCACGACACATATATAATGACAATATAATATAATAATTGTGCCCTCTTTTTTAATGAATACTAATTTATTTAAGCAATTAAGTCATCTGCAATGAATTATCGTAGTAAATCTATCAGAGAGATTTTATTGTAACTAATAAATATGTTGAGTTCCTTCATGATTCAAAGAAAAAAAAAATACCTGTATTATTTATATTGAAAGTGCGATCTGCCTGACGTTTTTACGAGCATCTAAGACTCTTTTTTTATACCTGACATTAATCACGTCGTTACCGAAATAGCCGAAATAGCATTTAAGCATTATAATGCCCTACGCGAAGTTTCTTGAATAAGTCATATACGTTGCCGGAATATTCCGCGGTGGAATATTTCACCGAAGTTACGTAAAGATTACATTAAAGCGGATTTTACCGCACGCATTAAATTCCAACAAGTTAAAAGGATGGGTCCCCAATTCACTGACTGATCGCTAAAATTAGTGGTTCGGTCGCAGTTTATACTTTTTTGTTCATCAGACAATTATTTCAAGACAAAAACTGGAGACATAGTCGACGGCGGGGAGGTTGCAGCGACGCGTTTTTCGTTTCGACGAATTCCGCGGCAGGCGAGAATATCATGCGATACGTCCTCACTATTTTCGTCCGCTCCAAAACACACCGAGAAACGAGAAACACGTCGCAACCTTTTCCTGTCGATTATGCACAGGCGATTGTGAGCTCATCATTAATACTATATACCTGACAGTGGGATGGATAAGGAAGTTCCTCGTGCGCATCGCTACTTTGAAAAGCGTACTTCTACCACGTAGCATCACTATACCTCACATATACTCGGTGTTACCATACTGAACGCACCGTTTCATTCTTCATCAAACGGTGCATCGTCTGACAAGAATGGTAAATAAAAGTTCCCCGTGATAAGGGGAACCTCGGCGATAACCCAGTCTTACGCGACGAGGAGCGATCGCGTATTCACTGCTTGGCGCGTCGTTGCCCAGTTATGATGATATTTCGAGGTTTGTCGAAAGTAAATGCGTATGATGTGCAGATAATGTCTATTTGCTTGGCGCGTCACGCGTTTTTATTCAGTGACTGCTCGTACGACGGTGGAGATTCAGTCAGTGAATGTTAATCGGACGTGGAAATTCGCGCGAGATATAATGCGGTAGTTGTGGTCGCGATATTTTGGGCCGAAGAGTACCGTGTTTACAAGACGATGGAATATTTATAATTTCACGTAGTGTGTGTATTGTCAGTGTATTGGCACGCTATTACCTCGCGTTCAACGAGACAGGAGTTTAGAAGCCCCGCTGGTAATGTAAGACATCGCGATTGAATTTCACGGTTCTTCTCGCTGAGCACGATCGAAATGGCTGGTTATGCGATATCTCTCCGTTTGCGAAAGAGGATAGAGTAAGATAATCTTAGGTGCTCGGTGCGCAACCGCGATAGAGTTTCACGTGAGTGAAAATTTAACTAGTCGACGCACGGTCGGCGTCAGCCGGGTCAAAACTGCAATCGTAAGAAATTGCGATCGCGAGGGACCGGCAATTTTCTCTTTCGTCCCTGAGAAAATACTTCGGGTTAAGCAAGCAAAATAGAAAAGAAATAACTATCCGATCCACGATGAAAGTGGAAGGAAACGGGCCGTAAAGAGCTTGAGAGCGATTTTTGCTCATTCATTCGCGAATGCGCATGTTGGATTTTGATTCTTTTATCTTAATTGTTAATTTACTTGGGGGCTGTAAGAAGACGGGGCAAATGAGAGAATGTCTGATTGAAAAGAAAATCATACGTCAACATGCAGTGTGCCAATAAAAAACTTTATCAAGCCACGTCAGACGGTGCACGCGTGCGTGTGGAGCAGTTGGACATATTACACATCGTTTGTGTAATTCATACAGAAAAACAATTTCTGCATAATAGTGTCAAACACGTAAAAACATGACATGTATAAAGAGACGATACAAATGCTAATCAACGACACAAACGTAAACTTGTAAACATTCATTCTAGACACTCATTACACTCGTTTTTTGTGAGACTCATAGACTACCAATTACACAATACCAACTCATATCGGCTTCAGGTGCCGAGAGTTTATTATCCGCACCTGAAGCACGATAAGACACCGCAAGAAATTATGCATCAACGATAATAAATCATGTTTCATTCCGACCGAGTGTCACGAGTGTTTAGGAAGTCAACGAAATTTGCATCGCTTGGGTCAAATTGTTCAAACAATTATACACAATGCCACACGGAGAAAAAGATTTCTTTGAATTTAGTACACGTGTCTGTTTGACTTGGGCTTTTTTTTTTTTAATATAATTTAATATCAAAGATCATTTTGTTTGAATAAAAATATTGTTTCATTAAAG